AGAGAGAGAGAGAGGACTTTTTTAATGATTACACCTTTCACGTCGATTTGTGTTGAATAATTTTTGCTTTATTTGTTACCCTCTGATTGCTTGTGGCATTTATAATGAGTATTAATAGCTAAACAACAAATAATTTATTAGCTTATCTGGCGAAAATGTATTAATTGTTTCCCAGAAGGTCGACATGTGGTGGGTTTATTCTTGAAATGCTGAAGGGCTAATCAGGCTTATCCATTTACATAATTAGCCACGACGACTACCTCGCCTTTTCCCATCTCTTTCTTTCTCTCTCTCTCTCGCTCTCTATGAAATGAGCCAAGAAATACCTTTCCTTTTTCGCATCTCTCTTTCTCTCTCTCTCACGCAAATAGTGACTACTCATGGATTTCCATCTACGAAATTGGCTAAAGAGTCTCTCATCTTTTTCCTCAAGCTTTGTAAAGCAAATAGCGTGGAGCAATTTCCAAAAAAAAAAAAAATGCTAATAGGGTCAAGGCAGCGCCTAGGCGCCCGCCTTTTACACTGCCTAGTCGGGTGCTTTGGGCGACTAGCACAAACCGCCTAAAATAGGCCGCCTTGACCACACCTAAGCTTTTTTTGAAAAAGTCTGCCTAGGCGGCTGGGCGGCCGACTTTTTGAACATTGGATGGGATCAAGCAAATTTTGATCATATAGGACTTTAGGACTTGCAAGGTCCATATTGGCAATTCTTAGACAAATGGAAGGGAAGGCTGCTTTAGGCAACACATGGATTTTGGAAGAAGAGTTCAAGAAGCTATATGTTGAGATAAATTGCCTCTTCGAAGGAAAACAACTCAATGGAGTCAAGTTCTCTCCAAGAGGGAGAGAATGATGCCATCCCCAATTAAATTGGGAAAATTGGGGGAAGAAGGGAAGGCATACTCATCGATGGGTTTTGCGAGTTAAAATAATTTATTGTTATATTTAGATTTTTTTTTAGAGTGAATGTTGTGTTTTTAAAGAGTACATAACTACATATTCATTTCTTATTTTTAGAAGCTGTAATTATGGCTATATTTTGGGATATAAATATTTAGTAAATTTCATTTAGGTTGGTAGTGGAGATTAGAATGAATATAGGGCCAGGATTTCATGGAGCTTTCTAGTTTGGAAATGCTTCAAATATTTGTTCTAGAGAGAGAAATGAGACTTTTTACTTCAACGTATTGATGTAAATTTGGGACCTTTTGTGCTCTTCCTACATGGCTGTCCTTCTCTAGCTAGTATGGGAAATTTTTGTGCTTGGTGGTTTGATTATCTCAATGTTCTAGTATTTATTCAGTATTGAGCCATTGGGAGTTTTGTCAATAATGCTGTCTTAAAATCTTCGTTATCATGCAAGTGATTCTAGATGAACTAGTTGTTAAATTGATCAAGCAAGAAGACATGGATTTAATGGAACATTGTGACACTTTATGGTAGACATTAAGTGACATGATAATGACATTTGGGGTAGAGAGCTAAACTATAATTTTTGTATTCTAGCTAAACTATGTTGTTGTATTTTCATCTCTCTCTCTCTATAAATTATATATGTATATATATCATAATCATCATCAAAGTCTTATCCCAACTATTTGAGATCAGCTACATGAATCTTGTTATGCCATTTTGCTCTATCAAGGGCAATACCCTCAGTAAGACCATAAGTCTCCATATCTTTTCTCACTACTTCTATCCATGTCCTTTTGGGCCTTCCCCTTGCCCTTTTAGAGCCTTCCACTTGAAGCAAATTGCACTTCCTAACCGGTGTTGTACTGGGTCTATGCTGTACATGGTCAGCCCATCTAAATGTACTTTCCCTCATCTTGTCACCTATTGAAACCACCCCTAAGTTCGCTCGAATATATTCATTCCGAATTCTATCATTTCATATCTTGCCACTATTCATATCATTTCCGTCCCATAAAGCAAATTTGGTCTTGCAACTGTCTCATAGAACTTCCCTTTCAACTTCATTGGTATGCGGATCACATAAAACTCTAGTTGCACATCTCCACTTCGCCTACGCAGCTCTAATCCTTTGTGCGACATCTTCCTTAAGTATTTTTTGGTCATCAATCCTAACTACTTCCTCGTTTCTACTCTTATTATTACTAAACTTGCATTCAATGTATTATGTCAAAGTTCTAACTTTGCATTGACGGCCCTTCTAATAGTCTCATCAAACAAAACTATATCATTCACGAACAACATACACCACGATGCTTCATCTTGTAGATGCCTAGTTAACTCGTCTATGACCAAAACTAAAAGATATGGGCTTAATGTTGACCCCTGATGTTGACCTATTGGCACTATAAATTTACTTGTCTCTCCACTAGTTGTCCACAATCCGCACACTAGTTAACGCTCTCTCGTACATATCTCTCACCATTTCTGTATAGCAATGGTTTCTTTTCCAGCACCCACCAAGTTTAATCTCTAGGTTTCCTATTGAAAGCTTTCTCTAAATAAATAAAGACCATGTAGAGGTCTTTTCCCTTTTCCCTCAATGTTGAGCCCATATCTCTCTCTATCTTTGCGTGTGTCTGTGTGTGTGCGTATGTGCGTGTGTGCGTTTTTAGTTTTCTTTGGACCCCGTTTTGTCCCTATTCTCACCAAACTCTGTCTACTATTTCCCATTATGCAATTGTATAAAAAAAATTGGTTGGATCCATGAAGCAAAGACGAGTCTTAGATTAGTCTAACAAAAGGAATCAAGTATTGCGAACATGAAAATAATGTTAAGAAGAGCTATTGGATTATATTTTGATGCATCTAGATGCCTTGGGTTAATAAAAGGGAATTTTAAATGAGACTAATGAATGGATGCTTATAAAATCGAGATTGTAAGGTGGTATGGACTATGAATCTTGTTTATGTTGATGGACAGCTGGATGTTTGATGTAAAAAGAGGAAAAAAAATTGAATAATAAGTGAATGAATCCATGGCTAACAAACTAGCTTTACAATTGAGTTAAGAAGTCTGGTTCGTGTGCTTTTTCGATCTTAGGTGTAAATTAACATTAGACATGGCCAAAATTATATAAAATGAGTCTATTGAATTCACCCATGTGATAATTGCCCCATATGATTTTTAAATTAGTGCAAATACTTTGGATTGCTCATGCTTTTTCATTTCACGTATACGTGAGAATTCACTAGGTAGAAGGCGCTGCCATTTGTTTACATGAAGAATCATGAATAGTCTTTGTGCAAACTTATATGTGCTACACATTTTTGGGTTAGAAATGTCATTCAATCTCACAAACAATATATCATCATCATTAAAGCTTTTTCCCACCTATTTGGGGTTGGCTAAACCCACAAACATTATATGGGCGCCCAAAAAGTCACATCACCTCACAATGGTTTTATAGCTACATGTTTTGCTAAGGTTTTGTGAATTTCTGGGATGGCCATATGTTTACTGGGCTCCTATTATATTTCCCTTGTAATATTGTGTCTTAAGGTTTGTTTTTTCCCCTAATGAGCAGACGTTGCAACCTGATGTTGAAATGGGTCATGGGCTCCACTCCATGGAAATCAATAGAACTGGGGAATCATTACTCATTTTTGGTGATGGTGGTTTGTTTGTTTTGGATCTATTTGATCGAACTTCTACAAAAGATCATGTTTACATTTGCAGGTATGTAGATGTTTTACTTTCTTCTTTCATTTGTTCTTTGGAGGCATCCTTCATGTATATGTTAGTCTTTTGAACATGTAGAAAGTGAAAACAGGAGAAATCAGATGGACACCATTGTTATTAGTTTGGTAACAAGTTCTTACATTTAACTTCATGTCATAGTTGCGTATTTCTGGGAAATATCAAAATCACTATTGCAATTTGTGCCCATGCAATGTTCAGAAGTTTTTATGGATTATTACATAGGTGTGCTTGTCCTTTTTCTTTTGTTTTCTAGAAACTTATGTGTGATGAAGGAAATCATCGATGCATCCTTATTCTTTAATAATCCTTGTGGTTAGGCCCCTATGGGTTTTCTAAATTCTTTTTGCTTTGAAACAGCTTAGGCATCGCTTATTTACATTCTACAAAAAATTTTATTTGTAATGTAGACTACCTATTTTCTGAAATTGTTTATAGGTGACTTCTTGTAGTAAGTAAATATATTTGCAGGTCTGCTTTGATTGGCTCTCAAATCTATTTCGGCGACACCAATTTCTTGCGAGTTTTGCAGGTTTCCTGGCATCCTTATAGTGAATCTCATATAGGTGTGCTTTCGTCAGACACTGTTTTTAGGTATGCCCTTTTCCATTTTAGAGATTGCTATAACAAGCCTGCAGCTCATTCCCTTCCAAATATTAATAAAAATTATGGAAGCTTTCATTAAAAAATCTGTTCTATGATTCAGCGTTACATGTGCTTATGTGCGATAGCAACACACCATTTGTGATATCTATTGTATGGTTCAGTGCTAGCATTGCTTAAAAGGGCAACACTTGTTTAAGACATTATATTGTTGAAGATCTCCATTGCTCAAATCCTCTTTTGCTTCATTGTTTAGTTTGTACCTTATCTTTTTTTTTTGGCTGTGCTGAGCGTTTGGTTTGTTCTTCTACCATGTGTTTCTTTATTCCCCTACCACTTCCTTAGTTCTTTCTGAGATTCCTGCATGCATGCCTTTGTGTGTAAGCTCATGTGTTTCTAGATGGGTGGGCGGTGGTAGGGGAAGGAAGCATGGATTCACTAGATATCATCTGTATAAGTGAAAAAAGAGGTGGGTTTCAAAGAAGTAGTTGCTATACTTCTTGTTTTCTTTGTAACACCATTCTAATGATTATATTTTAACCTTAAAATTTCAGCTTTTCAATGCCCTTATGTTACAAAGCCAAAACAAAATCATCCTTCATTTTTCTTTCATAGTTCAAATGGTAGATTATTGGACTGCATTAGGAGATGGATTTAGAGTAAGTGTAAAGAATCATACTTTAGGATGGAAACCATAAAATAAGTGTAAAGACTCACATTTTAGGTGCAGACATTGAGGTATGGCACAACCTTTACTGCCTCAAACATGAGACATGTTGGTCGGATAAGATGCATTCCCTTGTGGCTTATCAGTGGAGGAGAAGGGGTTGGGGGGGAGTTGGGGGAGGGAAGTAAGAGAAGATGCAGCTCCTACTATTTTCCAAGGTCAGATAGTTGAGTCGAAAGTCTGACTTAGAAACATAAATTTAGGTCATTGAATTGGGTCAGATACTGGCTAAGATGATGGTGATTTTTAATACTTTTCTAAATAACAACAAGCTCAATAAGTTGGGACATTGTTTTCAAGCTGGCCTCCCTTAAAACTGTCTTGAGTTAACAGACTCAAGTCAAGTCTGACCAACTGTTTAGATGTTGCTCCGTACACCTCTGTGGTTTATGGAATGCATATTGTAAGCTTCGAAAGCCACATATTGTGGGATGAGTGGGCCAGCAGGGGTGCGGGATTGTCTTTTAAAATCAACCTTTGGTAAGCATAGCTTGAAAAAAAATGGGGGTGTTCTTTATAAAAAGCTATAGCTCTTCCCTTCCGTGTTCCTTTGTTCATGAGTACTTCATGAACATAATGTCCAACAATGGGATCTGTGTGCAAGAACATATTCATCTGCAAGTTTTTTTCTTGAGTGGGAGCTGTGATTGATCTACTCAAAACACCAGCTTTTTGGTCTACTTACTTGCTTTGATTGTTCTCTTTGTATTCACCATGGACCTTATACTGTGATAGTTAGAGAAGGTTAGAATTGCATGCCAGTGATTGACACATGAAGAACATATTTTGAGTTCTTAGTTGTTTTATGTATGCTAATAAATTAATGTGACTCTTTCACAAACTTTTATAGCTCGCTAGCTTATTAACTTCCCTGTTCAAGGATATTGTTAATGATGATGGAATTATAATATGATGAGTGGAAATTATGCAATTGAGGAAGACAAAATCTTTTTTTTCCCTATATTTCATGGTCCATCCTTTGTTTAGCTTTTTTTGTGATTGATAACGATGGCCAATGACATGCAAAGTCAGGTACACAATTTATCACATGATGCCCAGGAAAATGCTCAAGCCAAGCCTTGGCCAAAGTTCTTCCTTTGCTATTATCATCCACTCCTAATTGTCCTTCTCACCGTTTACAGGAAGCTCATTATTTTTAACTCACCTGGATTCCCATCTCCTCTTTATTGGTTCATCTTGAAGGATAATTGTGGCCATTATGCATGGGTGCTAGCGACAAATGCTGACTATTGTTTCGTTGACCCTTCTTTATTCATTGTTGTGCACATAATTCCCATAAGCCGAACAAACCAATGTAAGCTGCGTAAGATTTTGAAGAGTGAATCCTTGCTCCTGAAGGGAAATGACAGGATCTTAAGAACTTGGTGTCCAGCACTGTCCTTCTCAATGATATCTTCAGGAGATCATATAAGCTGTACATCTCCAATTGACCATTGGACCAGGACTGGACTGGAACTAGTCCACAAACCTATGGCCCTATGGAATTTGCACCACACATGGTGCAACAACACTATGTCCCTTTGTGTCTCTAAAAAGAGCAGAAACCCAGGAGTGGGTGTGACAGCTTGAACGTCTAGGGAGAAGGATCTTAGAAAGTTTCCCAAAAAGTACCTTCCTCCTGTGTCCCAGAAATACTCATATCTCATAGTCAAACATTCCCCAAAAAAGAAAAATACTCCTGACCTCCTAGTCCTAGTATTGGATCTCCCAAGACCTCAATCTGTTGCTGCTGATGGAGATCCTTTCTACCCCTTATGCATCTCTATTGACTATTGATGATGTGTACATGCGATTCTGTATGCAAGAATACTATTTGCCCATTCGCAATTAATGAGGATCACATTTTCTGCCTTATGTATCGCTTTGTAAAATAATATTACTGCCAACACAGAGCCTAGCCTAGAAACCTCAAATCACTTGGGGCATACCAGAACACATCTGGATGGATGTTCACATACAAAGAGGAGGCCAAACCATAAATCAAAAAAGAAAAAACAAAAAAAAAAAGCTTCTACCCTCTAATTCTTGATCACCAAAACTCACCATTCAGTTGGGATTGACGAGAAAGAAAGAGGGAGGTTGCAGAGAGAGATGTGTTCTACCTCTCTGCACCTCCGCTCACCCAACCATCCTTGCCCGTGCCACTCTCCCCCTCTTGTAATCCCAGCCCTGACTTTCTCCTTTTTTGAGCAATTGAGTTCCTCTGAATCAGCTACATGAATTGAGCTGAGGAAACACTGCACATGTGAATATAAATGGCTCCTCTTGGATCAAACCTGTCAAGAAACTCCTGGTCCACGATCCTTTATTCTCCGCCATTGATTTACTTGAATCCATCATCAGAAGCCTTGACCTCAAAAGCTCTTAATTCAAATTATGGAAGCTATTCTCTTTTTCAATTACTTTCCCCAAGCTTTCACCACTATTGGACATCTGAATCCTTTAGGATTCATTCTTATCAACCCCCCTTCACACACAGTGCTCTTCAATGCTGCTTTGTAATGGCATCAAACCTAGCTCTCTATCTGAACTTAGCAGATCTAGTTTACGATTGAAGCTATGGTCAAAGACAGTTGTATGCGTGGAGGGACAGATTAGGGTTTGACATTCATGGAGCAAAGAAAGCAATTTTGGCCATGGTTTTGCAGTAAATTTGGGTTTTCTTGTGCGCAGAGATGATTCACAAGGGTAGTAGAGGATGATGCTGCTGATGAAAAATAGGAAGAGAAATTATGGTTCGAGTTAGGGTTAGGGTTTCAGAGGAGAAACTAGAAGAAAGAGTGTGAGCATTATGGAGAAAGATGATGAGAGGACGCCAGTTTAACCAGTGACTGTTCATGCTTATTTTTTATTTTTTTCCAGTTTTCTTTCTCAGAAATTAGAGAGCAAACATAGAGGAGAGTATTGTAGTGGTGGCCAAAATTTGAGTGGATATCGGTGGGTTCTTATTTGGGGCTTGGTTATTTCACTGAAATTTTGGGATGTTTTGTTTCAGCGAAGTTTCATTGTCGATTTTGGTGAGTTTCGACTTTGGGCTTGGCTTTGGTAACTGCAAACCAAAATCTTCTGCTGTACCAAAATTTGAGATGTTTTGTTTTGGCAGATTTCCAGTGGATTTGGTGAGGTCAATTGAATGTTTTGTTTCAGCAATTTTTTAGTTGCTTTTGAGTTCTAATTTGAACTTTGGATTTTGGTGAGTTCGATTAGGCAAAGCTAATTGGGAAAATTGCAGCCTAACTGCCCTAAACCACTAAGTGATTTTAATGTAGTTTGCGAAAATCCAACAGATGGCCATCTGCATTAAAAATAAAAAAGTACATTCATTTTCATTTGCAGCCAAATAAGGGATAAAAAGTTCAAAAAAATTTGCAGTTAGAGCTCAGGAACAGTCTTTCTGAGCATTACTAGCGAAATTCTGTCTGGAAGGTCGGAGCTTGCAAATGTGGCACTATTGATTTGTATGACACATGTAAAAAAGTCAACCCTAAAAGTTTGGGCCTTCTGCGATTGGGTTATAGACTGTAAGTTAGCCTGAAGTTCATTCAGAGTGGATTGTCTTGAGTTTTACTGATTTGGCATGTGCGGGATACAGACAGCACCAGCAATTGATTTGGGATGGTTTTTGGTATACCATTATTTACTTGGTCCTTGCTATACTTTATGTCTTTGTTAATATTTTCCTTCTTATTTCTGTTGTTTATAAAAGCATTTGATATAGAAATATTTTTTATTGTTGAAATTAAGAGCATTCTCTAGTGCTTATGTCATGAATTTCCAAATATATCAATATTAAGTCAATACTATCAGGTCAAAACTGACTAAACATCTTAAAAATGATGTGATGATACCTATTTGGTGCCTAAAATAATAATTTTTTTTGGCATTTTGTTCTAGTGAAACATTAATTCACTCAGGCTGCTAACTGGGCATGATTTCAGAGATGTCTATAAGGGTTGGTTAGCTGTGCACATAGATGTGGAAATTTGTAACTTATGTAATTTCATTTTTACACTCAGGATTATTTTGTATTCCAAACTCCTGGGAGCTTTATTTCTGACTTTAATTTTCGCAGATTATTTGATTTGTCCTCTGACCTAGAGAGACCAGAGCAGGAATATTACTTGCAGCCATTGGAACCTGCAAGATGCCATAGTGCAACGTCATTATGCCCTGTAGCTTTTTCTTTTGGTGGCGAACACTTGTGGGACAGATTTACTGTAAGTCCTATTTGAACTTGTTTCTGATTTCCTTGATTTGAGATGTTTTCCTTAGTTCTACATGTAGTATTGGTAACTCTTGCCTAATATATTACCATTTCATGATTGGATTCCGGCTTTTGATAAGCCCATTGAACTAGTTTTATTGCATAAAAAAGATTTGCATCTTATGTTCTTTCATGATCCTTTCGTTCTCCATGAGTTGCCGCAATCTAATCAGTGAAGGGGCTTTTGAGAAGATATATAGGAGCCACTAGACAAAAGTGAAGTCTTTGAGATCGTTCTATTGTTCTAGTGGATATCAAAAAGATTTGCATCTTATGTTCTTCTTTCACCATGAGTTGCCGCAATCTGATCACTGAAGGGACTTCTGAGAAGATATATGGGAGCCACTAGACAAAAGTGAAGGCTTTAAGATCTTTCGTTGGGCAGCCCACCTGTTCTAGTGGACATCTTATTTTCTGTTAAGTCTAGCAATTATGCATTTTCAGATGATGATTTTGTTCATTCCTCAATTACTGCGTTTCTTAATTGTTCAAATGTTTTGTTAGGTTTCAGGCAACCCCGTAGCCTAGGTTATATCCACAGGACCTCATGCTTAAGTTGTGAGGGTTGCTAACCCTTTACAAGACCATTGCGTCCATTACTTACTGTGAGTATAGGTTGTTAGGTTAGGTTGTTAGGTTATATATGTGGAGTCGCTAAAAAATTTGCGATGTTACTCTTCCGATACCCTAATTCATGGCCTTACTTTTTCAGGCTTCCTTTGGTGATTACATGGCATCTCTGTTATGAATTCCTTTTGAAATTCTTGCTCTTGGGTGCCAGGGGCTTCTGGATGAAGGCCACTCTGGGTACATAATAGTGACCACTCTAGCCAATTTTTACCAACATTCCAGGTTTTTGTTGACTTGATCATTAAGCTCGTTGGTAGGAGGTTCTGTTGCAAGATGAAAGGAAGGGACATGAATTCCATACAGTGAAGTGGATGAAGTTTGTAAATATGGGAGGCAAGGTGGTGGATCAGATGGCTCGAGGATGGTGTTATTGTCTTGTTAAAACTGGTCAAACTCGATTCAAGAAGGCTTCCAGAGGTATTCTAGCAAAGGATTGTTGGGGGTGCGTATGTCTGTCATGAGGTCTATGAGGAAACTGGGTTTAAGATTTAGGTATGGTAGTAGAATTACATTTTCAGATGACATTTGTTTCTGGGATAGGCTAAAATCACAGTTTGTTTTCAACATTCATGTTTTTGTTAGTTGACCCTAAGGCTAGGTGCTGGATGAAAATGTGGTTGTGCTAGGCAGTGTTTCAAAAAGCGCTAGGCGGCACCTAGGCGGACGGGAGAGGGTCCAGGCCGCCTAGCGCCTAGGCGGGCGCCCAGAACGTGGGTGGCCCAGTAGAAAATTTTTGTTTTTTGGGTTTTCTTTCTTTAAAATGGCCTCTAATGGGTTCTAGGTTTCAAATGAACCTAAAAACCACAATTTTTCCTATTTCGCATTAAACAAATAATCCAAAAATACCCTCACGGAGCTGCATTTCCGCCCTTGGGCGGCCGCCTAGGCTGGTTCAGGCGGGCACCAAGGGATATCTGCCTAGGCGGCCGCCCAAGCGCTGGGCGGTTTGCTTATTGAAACTATGGTGCTAGGGATGTCATATGTCTTTGATATATGAAGGACCTTGACGAGGGGGATGTTGAGGCAATTTCTGTAGGGTAGGTTAGATTGGACTTCCATTATGAGAGCTAGGTTCTTGGGCTCTTTACAGTTGAATCATTTTATCTTGCGCCTTAGGGTGCTGGGGTTGTTTGGTATCCTGGTTGTTTGGGTGGCTGGAAACTCTGGATAACAACCCTGACTGTGGTTCATCTCCATATTTGGTGTCCCACCTCCCGTACTTCTCCGTCTTGTGTTGGCAGGATAATGATATAGTTCTCTTTGAGGTTGTTTGGTAGTATTTTTAATCCCAAAGAGAAGTTGGCAGGTGCGGACTGACTAATGTTGACCTGGGCTAGGCCTGTCAGGTAAGGCCCTTGACCCAAGCCCTGCTTGGCCAACATGACCCAAATGACCTGCCCAAGCCTGAGGCATTGGCTATGGGATAAATCGGGGCCCATCCAGCTGATCCCACGAGTCAATGTGGGTCGGTCTTGAGGCCGGTTGGAGCTAAAATTAAGAGAAAACAATGGTTAGCAGAATCAAAATGGGAGGCTAGCATTGCCACCCTTGTTCTCTGTGGCTTATTAAAGGAAAAATACACAAAGAGACCATTTACTTTTGGTGCAAGCACGTTACAATCACTCTTGTCCATCAGATTTCAAATCGGGTGGTTGTAAGAGTACTATTGACTAGACTCAAAAGTTCAAAATAATAATAATAATCATAAAACACCTCAAGCCATCCACTTGGACATCTAATGGTTGTGAGTAATTGTAACCTCCTTGTAACAAAGATAAATGGTCTCATAGTATACAATCCCCTTATTAAAAACATGGGATAGACTTACTAAAAATCTAAAGATACATCTACCTTTCATTTGATGAAAAAGATAAGCCTACAACTTTGCAATATATATATATATATATAGTGACTATAGGGTCTAGATCACTGCTAATCCTTCAATTCGGGTCATCCAGCCTTTTCTATTCAATAGGCCCATATGGTATTGAATAGTAAAGGCTGGATGAGCCGAATTGAAGGACTAGCGATGATCTGGATACCCTATATTCACCAAAAATGATACATTTTTTGCTCACATTATTTATGTGTATCCTTTTTAATTTTTATTTGGAGTGACTAGATGATATGTACATGTGTGCAAAGTTGTGTCTATCAGACTTCTACATTTTTCTAGGAAGAAAAAAGCATGTCTAACCTGCAACACTGGCCATCTATTTCTGTGGGCTTCAATCTAGGCCGTTGAGCCTATATTGGTCTAGAGGCTTGTGAGTTAAAATGATTACATTATGTGTATATATATAGGAAAAAGCTAACAAATGTTCAATCTTTTAGGTTGCAGTGGAGCCCTCATACCTCCCCACTGTCCATGCAAATTTAAAAAATGGACGATGGGGATGCTTTATTTTTCTTACTAGATGGAGAGAGAAAATGCCTATTCACCCTCTCGCTCTCTTTACACTTTCCATTGAAATCTCTTCCACCCTCTTTCTCCTCTTTGTATCTTGCTCCTCCGTCTCTCTCTCTCTAGGCTCTCCATCGCCTCTTTCTTTTTCCCACTATATCACCAGCCCTTGCTCTCTTCCTCACCCTTTCTCACTAATAAAGGGGGCTCGTTACTCTCTCCTAGACAATAATCGCATATTTTTTTCTTTTACAAATTACAGTGAAAATTCTGTGACATAGGAAGTAAATCACAAACAATCACTATGTTCTGTGATTTACTTTAGTCACAGTTTTATTTGTTTTTTTATGCAAATACAAGTGATTTATCTCATTGATTGAGGTTACAATGAGGGCCCTGTTCACTCGATTAGGGCACACTGGAGACACGAGTTCACTCAATCAAGGCTTTGAAGCTTGATGAGGGCACCCTTATTCCTGGTGCTCATATACAAAAACACCTTAGGGGGCCCAAGAAATGCTATACAAGCAAAAATGGTTGCCGAAAGGAAAAACAAAAGGTGGGGATCTATTGCTAAAAAAGGTGCCCTAAACTCCCCTGTGTGTTCTGCTGTACGGTTCCGTCCTTAGCGAGGGTATCGGTTGTAGCATTGGCTTCCCTCCAGGTATGATACCAAACGATGTGAATATCCCTGCATACGTGGAAAATTTCGTCAATGATGTGGTCCAGACTCCAAGGGCAGGAGGAGGATCTTGAAGCCCAGGCTATAACATTCTTCAAGTCCCCTTCGATGATCAAAGTGGGATCCTAAGTGGAGTTGAAGTTGCGAAGTCCTTTGAGGAGGGCCAAGGCCTCGACAACATTGGAATTGGTGTGGCTGATGAAGCGGGAGATGGAGAAGAGGGTAACACCATTAATAACCTTGAAAATGCCACCCATACCGGTGGAGCCTGGGTTGCCGAGGGAGCAACCGTCGAAGTTGAACTGTACTTGACCTTGCTCAGATGGCCTCCAGAGTGAGGAGCGAGAGGTATGTGCAGTCCTGAGTTCAACAGGTTGCTCCAATTTTGGTGGAAGTCTGAGAGGGAACAATGTTGGAAAAGCTTGCTATTCTTTGCCCAGAAGTTGACCAAGGATTTGACCCTGTCTATAAGGGCTTCGATGACAGCCTTCTTTCCATGAAAGGTTCTGTTCTTAAGGTCCATCTAAATGACCCAAAGAGTGGTAGCCACGGGGGCCCGCCACAGGGCAATGCCAGATTTGGACCATGGTGGAGAAAGAAAGGACGGAAAAATTTGGGAGATTGAATGTGGAGTCACCTACAACTAACCAAAAAGCTAGAGTATGTTCCCCCACAGGGTGCTGGCTATGTCACAGTTGAGGAACAAATGGGCGTTTGCCTCTTCCTCCATGGTGCACATGGTACATCTGTTTGGCATTTGCAATCCCCTTCATTGGGGTTGGTCGATGGGGCTCTTTTGATAATGGTGGTCCAATTGAAAATTTAGATTTTGGGAGGGACAAGAGGAAACCAGGCTTTGGTCGCAATGGAGGGGTATCTAGTGGCTAAATAGAGGGCAACAGAAGAGTGTTGTGGAAGGGTGAGACTAAGAATGACCAGACGTTCTTATCAGTCCCTAGGGTGTGAGGAAGATTGAACGTGGTAGGGATAAGAGAGCCATGAATTCTGGGACCTCTTGGTCTGACAGGAGTCTTCTGAAAGTGGGATTCCACACCCTACTAGGGCCCAAGGCCTGGATACTGTCCGCTCCTGTGGTCTCGGGGTTCTGGGTTAGAAGAAATAGGTGGGGAAACCTTTCCTTGAGGGGTTGAGTGGCCTAGCCATAGATCGAACCAAAAGCGAACTCTATGACCAGCCAGAGGACGGAAGCGGGTATTTCTAACAAAGAGGGGAAGGCTGCAAAGCAAAGATCTCCAAGGCCCTGAAGTAAAGCCAGTGACCCTACCATCTGGAAGCCAAGTTGATTCCACACAGCACTATTTATGTTGGATGACCTCTTGCTAGAGTTGATTCTCCTAGGTGGAGAAGCACCACTACCATTTGCCAAGAGGGGCTAGATTGTTGGATTTGAGACTGCAAATGCCTAAGCCTCCTTGGGACTTGGGAATGCAAACTTTGGCCCAGGGGATCAGGTGGTACTTTCTCCCCTCCTCTCCTGCCGACAGAAAGTTCCTCATGAGTTGCTCTAGGTGGTGGGCCGCCGAGGATGGCATATGGAAGAGGGACATCTGGAAAATGAGAATATTGGGTTGATGAGAGTTAGGCGACCTGCAGACGATAAAAATCTGCCCTTCCACCCCGTGAGTCTACAATCAAATTTGTTGACAATGTGGTTCCATTGACTAGTGTTGGGCTTGTTAATGCACAGTGGCAGGCCTAAGTAGGACGATGGCAAGTCTTCCGCTTTGCAACCCCATCTGTCTGCTGAGGTAGATAATACATGATTCTCTAGTGACACACCCATCATCTTGGATATGGCCATGTTAACTCTGAGGCCAATAGCCATTTCAAAGCATTTGAGATAAAGTCGTAGTAGTCAATCTGATGCAGGGTGGCGTCTTAGAATATAAGTGTCTGTCGACATATTGAAAGTGTGAAAACTCCGGGCCATTTCTCGTAATGCTGAAGCCCTTAAGAATACCGCTTTGGTACATACCAAAAATAGATCTGCTGAATACTTCAATGACAATGGTGAAGAGGGAGGGGGCCTTCCTATTTGAGACCCCTAGAAGAGGGGAAAAAACCTCTAGGGGAGCCATTGATAAGGACAGAAAAAGGAAGAACTTACTCTAATCCAAGATCTCTAACGGCGGCCGAAGCCTATCTTGCTAAGAGTTTCGTCTAATCTCAGTCTAGGTGGTCGTAGGCTTTCTCCTGGTCCAATTTGATGATCACCTAGGAATTTTGGCCAATGGTGCGAATGGATGCACTCGTGGGCTACTAACGCTACGTCGAGGTTTTGGCAATCTTTGACATAAGCCCCTTGAGTGGGGGAGATAACGCACCCTAGAGCAATTTTCAATCAAGAGGCTAGGCCCCTAGATAAAATCTTGTAGGAGTTGTGTATGAGACTACTGGGCCGGAAGCCTTTAAGCTTTTCAGCGCCTTCGACCTTGGGAATTAAGGTGATGAATGTCGTGTTCATTGCCTTATTGATGATCCTCTCTCATGGAATTCAGCAAATCGGGCAAGCATGTCTGGATGAAAGGTGTGCCAGAATTGTTTGAACAGGGCTATCAGGTAGCCATCTGGACCAGGAGCTCGATCTTGTCCAAGGTCTTTAATGGCGCATAGGATTTCCTCTTTAGAGAAGGCACGTTCCAGCCATGCAGCGACTTTGGGGGGTATGGATTGGAAGGAAAAAGTTGGCCATCCTCAGTCTAGGGCCCGAAGGTCCTGTGAAGAGTTTATTGAAGTAGTTGATGGCTGCATCCTCAACTAGGGGGGCTTGGTCGAGGATGAGGTTATCTACTTTGATCTGAGAGATTTGAGAATGGTTTGGGGCATCGGTGGTTAGGGGGCTGATGCCTCAGCATAACATCCCACCCTCCATTCCGACCATTAACATATTAACAAAAAAAAAGAGAGAGTCTATGTAGATTAAGGCACAATTAAAACACCATTTCACTCAATTATGGTGTTGAAGCTCAATTGGAGCACCAAGTTTGAAGCTTAATTCAGGGCATGTGGGATCTCTGATTTTCTGCTGGTATATATATATATATATATATATATATATATATAGAGAGAGAGAGAGAGAGAGAGAGAGAGAGGA